TGAGAAAGGTACGAGTTGTTTCAATTAAGGTGTCTATCTTGCGCCAGCCACCCCTTTTGTTGAGGGGTTAATAGGCACATGAGGTTTGGTGAAGAATGCCATTAGAAAGCCATGAAATGTTTTTAAACTGTTGAGAAAGGTATTCACGGCCATTATCACTGCGTAAAGTGCGAAATAGAAACCCCAAAACTGAGTTTTTATTCATTGAAAAAGATGAAATTAGGAAACAACTCAAACGATTCATTCATGAGAAACAACCAAGTACATCTGGAATAGTCATCAATAAAGGTAACAAAATAACTAAAATTCCGAAAGTTTGACTTAACACGACTAGGTCCTCCCAATATCAGAATAACCAATGAAAAGGGGGATGACGCTCTTTGTGAAACACTACAGAGGGAAAGGAACTACGCAGTATGTTACCTAACTGACAAGACTCACACAAACAAACTTAATAATTCGACAGACTCGGAACAAGTGTTTGCCCTGCGTTGGCACGACTTGGATTACCTACACTGAGCATTGAAGAAGGGATGGTGCACTCCATGATTTACGCCAGCATGTGGAGAAGGCTGAGAGATATAGCCATGAGACTCACATCTGTGCCAATCAGTTAAACCAAACAGATCTTTGGTAAATGAAATAACACAATTAAGGGAACGAGTTAGAGACTTAAGGACAATAAGTTTTAAAGGAGACCCAGGGACATAAGTACATTATCATGGATATGACGGAAAATATAACAGTAACCAATACCATGAGAGTGAGACTCTAGACCCATCAGCCATCGTTACCGAGGGTAAATTACATCCGGACATGACAAGGAGAAACAAGGGACTTGTTACCATGATATGATCGTGGCCCGAGTCAGGACCCAAGATCCGGGAGAGATAGACCAACAAATGGGGGGTACCTGTGCGTATAACAGAAGCAGTATGTAGTGAAATCTGAGTGTGACGACGTCCCTCATACCATTTGAGGAAATTCCTAAAGAGTCACAGGGTTTATTTATGGTATTTGATGAAGTAGGATGGTCTGCAGACGGTGATCAGGGAGGTGGATCAGAATTAGCCATTGCTATAGGTCGAGGAGAACGTCCATGAAGCGCATAACATCTATCAATTTTGTGGCCTAGCTTGTCACAGTGGTCACATTTTGGACGTCCTTTACCTGGTTGGCGAGACCGACTCTGATCATCAAGTTGGGCAGCCATGGAGTAGGGAGAAACCCTAAAAATCCAAAGTGCTCCGATTGACGCAACGACCACAGATCCAGAAAGAGGGCGAGGAGCGCTTCACGGCGGGCGGATCGGCGGCGAAATCTCCGGCGACGCGGCCGGCACGCGCGGCGGGAATCGCGGCAGCGGTGATCGTTTGCGGCGACGCGTGGAGGCGCGTGGGTGGTCCGTTCGCCGCGATCTTTGGACCATGGTGGTCGCCCGGCCGAGACGATTCCGATGGTGTGGTCGTCGGTCGATTCTGGAACTCCGATGACGGCGATGGCAGCGGCGGCGGCGACTGCAGCGTCAGCGGCGGTGATGGGTACCGGAGACCGTGGAGTTGGCGGGAACTATTCCTGTGCTCCAGATACATGTGAAATAATAGAGAAGATTAGGAGAAATCTCCCTTATGTGTTTAGCATACACATTAGGGTAGTTTATTTATAATGTAGAGTCAAGGTTAAACCCTAAATACAAAATGGGCTTAGCCCAATTAACATAAACACACAACTTAAAATCTAACAGTCACTCCTCTTGTTTGGGCGACTAGCATCTCAAACTCCTGCACATAATCCTCTATAAACCCTCGTTGTTGCAGCGATGCTAATTTTTCGAACACAGTTCCCCGCTCTCTCCCACCGAACCGCCGCACCACAGCATCACAAAATTCTTCCCACTTGGGTTCCGTTACCTTCGTCTTCCAATCGAAACCAGTAGTTGGCGCTGCCTTCCATGCGCAGCACAAGGCCATCGGAGTTTCTCCTTTTCCCCTACCCCTTGGATCTCGAAGAATTTGTCCGCTCGAGCAATCCATCCCATCGCTGCCTTCCTCCGAGCTCTCTCTTCTCCCCTCCGAGCACTCTCTTATCCTCCGCCGATTGTCATTAATTGACCCCTGACTTCCTTCTGAATTCCGTTCTAGATTTCGCGCCAACCTCTCTACCACTCGCGTCAACTCTTTCAAGTCCTATCGAATGCCCATATTGTCTGCCTTCAATTCTTCTCCCGCTAGCTCCAACGCGTTCATCCTCCCTTCGATTCGGTTCTCCAATCCTCCCTTCCATCTTGCTCTCCCTCCAATTTGGATCCGGCAGGTCGGACCAATTATTAGGTTACTTTATACGAGTATCCTAAATCTACCTTCTCTTCTCACTCAAATACTCAAACAACACAAATGAAAGTATGTATGTATGTATGTATGTATTATTGATTCTGTAACATGAAAGAAAATACAAGTACAATCTTCCCCAAAGAGGCCTATTCTCCTCCACTGGCAAATATGGCCAGTCTATACCCAAAATGAAAATATATGATCCCTCTTCCCCTATTCTGAAATTATTTATACTCTTTCTCTCTATGAACAACTAACAAACTTCCCCGCTATTGAGTCGTTCGGTCATTAGCTCCCTCCAATGCAACACCGTTCGGTGTGAACACATTACCGTTCGGATATTACTTCAACATTTCCACTCGGCCTTCAATGTTACTGATCGGCCCTCCTCTTCTATTCCTCCTTCCATATCCACCGTTCGGTATCAATGTATATACGGTCCTTACTCCTCTTATATACTTTTAGCTTTCTAACATGATCAGAGTGGCAAATTAAGCATGGTGGTCACCAGAGAAAGACGGTCTTGATTGTAGTGGTCACCAGAGGCTCGGTGATAGATAACACGAGCACATAGTGGCCATTGTTAACCTGCAAAAAAAGATCCAAGACTGAAACCCTACGCAACTGATTCCATATAGAATTATATATGTTTTGAATGTATTGTGTATCTAATGTGATCAACACAATATGTATTTATACATTTTACAGAATTAATTTATAATAAAAACACTTAATAATTAGGAATACGATTACATCCTAATTTCCTATATTATGTAGGGGTTAATTTCCTCAAATCTGTAATAGCTGATTACATTCTAACAGTAATAAAAGATCTCAATTGTTTCTTTCATCATTTGGTTTCTCTTATAGGTTCTTCCTGATGGGTTATATACCATGAACTAGTACTCACAACCAGGAATATATGAGACAGGTAATTCCAACTGTTACCTATTTCATGTTTCATGACTTTTTTCGATGGATATCTGACAATAGTGAAACTGAATACTCATGTTTCAGGTGACGAATTAAGCCGGAGTGGTTGGTGGAGATTGCGCCCCACTATTACCAGCTTAAGGATGTTGAAGACTGTATGCTTTCTCTCTCTTTCTCATATTGCTATTATATTTTTAGAAGGAGTTACAACATTTCCCCTTTGAGCATTAATCAAGTTTTCTTTATAAATATCATAAAGAGTCCTGTTATTGGATTCTGGCTATGATCCTGGCATTAGTTTGTGGATGTTATCCCACATGTTTTAATAATGATGATTCTAATTTATAGGTTGTCATACTGTTAATGCATTTTTAGCTGTTTAGTAGTACGTGAGAAAAATACAAATAAATTAGAATGAATTTGGGAGTATGTATTGCCTTCTATCAAGGGGGCATATGTAGGGTAGTATAGGATGGGAGGGAGGGGAGAGGAGGAGGAGGAGAGTGGGAGGGGGGGGGGGAGGAGTTGGAGGAGGAGAGGTAGCGGGAAAGTATTTTATATTTATTATTTATTTATATTTTTGGATTATATATTTTATTAGATAGTTTTTATTAATATAATGTTATTCATAGGTTTATTAGTAGTAGAATGATTTTTATATTTTATTAATGTTGATTTTATTATTTATTTTAAATTATGTAAGATATTTTGTTTTGTATTTTATATTATATTTATATTTAGTTTGATTTTATGTTTTTTTTTTGTTTTTATTTTATTAGTAGTATTATTATAGTTATATTAATGTTATGTATATTTTATTTTGATTTAGTTATTTATTTATTATTATTTATTAGTATTTTATTTATTTATTATTATGTTATTTATATTAGAGTATTATAAGTAGAATTTGTTTTATTATTATTTATTTATTTATTTTTATCTATTTTATTTTGATGTTATTATTATTATATGTTTTAGTATTTTTATTATTTATTTTTATTTGATAGTTTTATTCATATTGTTTTTTAGTAATTATTAGTTTATGATTTATTATTGATATATTTATATGATTTTATATAGTAGTAGGGTTTTTGTTTTTATATTTTTTTTATTTATTTATATTATTTTATTTATTTTATTTTCATTATTATTTTTATTTAGTTAGTAGTTTTTGAGATACATCAAATACTGTGAATGAGAGGGAAAACTAGATGGTTCTAGAATATGTTCCTAGAAACTAGGTTTAACACAGCATCCTTCTAGAAACTAGGTTTAGGCGATCGGAAAAGAAAGAAATAGTGAATTTATTCAAGATAATTATGTACTTACAAAATACCGCCTCAATTCATCCTATTTCATCCTATCGAGGATGTGATATGGTTCCAAAGGGTGAACTAGACAGTTCCAATAAGATTTCATTCTTGAACAAAAATCCGATATACTTTTTGGAGGGAGGGTCCCATTGGCGTGCATCCAGTAGGAATTGAACCTACGAATTCGCCAATTATGAGTTGGACGCTTTAACCATTCAGCCATGAATGCTTAGCGGGAATCCTCGTATATGGTGAATAACCAAATTCCAATTGAAGTGAAATCTTTCGGATAAATCAATGCAATTAGGAGGATTCGATGAAAGGACATCGATTCAAATCTTGGATTTTTGAATTGAGAGAGATATTGAGAGAAATCAAGAATTCTCGCTATTTCTTAGATTCATGGACCCAATTAAATTCAGCGGGATTTTTCATTCATATATTTTTCCAAGAGAGTATTAAAAACTCACCCATAAACAATAATAAAATATTATCATAGTATTAAAACTATTTCAAAGATATATTAAATCTGTTTGTTTCTTAGATATTATTTTGTTTTATTTGATATATATTTGTTTTATTTTGCTCAAGTAGCATATAGCATATTATTAGTCAACTTCGAATTTTTTGATTGTTATAAGAATGTTATTTATGCCATATAGCTATTGAGTATCAAATTTTATGGCAGCGTATTCGAAAAAAATGCCCCGAGGAGCAGGCCGGGTACAAGAGGACAAATAAATGACACTTTTGGAAGAAGAAAAAAATGTCTCTGAAACATGGGATATGTTTAGGCGTGTCTTCCACAGGAGTACACAGAAGTGATTAAATGATACACGACTATACCAACTTATATAAGGTTGGACTTTTATCACACTAGGAGTGTATCTTCTTTTTGTTTGTAATGATATTTTAGGTACTTTTGGCATATTAGTCTAATTGAGATGTCAAAAGATTATAATCATGGGATATGTACTGTAAATATTGTACTATAGCATTGTATTTCCATGCCTGTGCTGACTTCATTACTAAATTACCAACAAATTTTGCTCTGTTAGGTTGTTTTTTCATTTTTTTTAAGTGAATTCTGTTTCAATTTTGTTATTGCTATTTTATACTAACGAATTTCACAAGGGTAACACAATATTTTGGAAGCAGCATGAACAAATTCATTTGATCTAGCAAATAGTTTCCTATCATTCTATGGTTGAGATGTTTTGTCCCCATATCTGGAACAAGATGGATGAATGATATGTATCATTATATTAGATATCATGTATTGTTTTTTTTTTCATTAGTTTTACTTAGATATTAATTCTTTTAGTTTTTCTTTTTAGATTCCAATTAATTTTTCTTTCCCCACCTAGTTTTACTAAATAAATAAATAAGTTATAATTCTACAATTCTATCTTAACGTATCAAGTCTACGGATATACAGTAATGAAGAATTTAGGTTTATTGACTTATGCGACCACAAATCTTTCAACAAATGGCTCCAGTGCGTAATATTTAAACCATTTCTTATCCTTTACTTACTGCAAAATAATTTTTGTTTTTTTATTTAAAATTTAACAATTATTTAATTTAATTTAAAATTTTAATATTATTTATAGTATTTTTATATTTTAATAATTATCAAATGATTTATATTTTTATAATAATTTTATTAAAAAAGTTAAAATAAAAATAAAAATAATGGAAATAAAGAAAAAAGTAAAAAAAATAATTTAAAATAAGATGTAGTATATTTAAATATATTAAATTATATTAAAATATTGAATTAGATTAAAAATTATTAAATTTTAAATAAAAAACAAAATTTTAAAGAAAAATTGTTAATGTAACCGATTTGGATATCTTAAAATTATTTTTTTATTTAAAATTTTATAATTGTTTAATTTAATTTAATATTTTAATATATTTAAATATATTAAATCAATTTTTTTTCATTATTACTATTTGATTTTAATTATTATTTTTTTAATATAGTTATTATAGTAATAGAAATTGTATTTTAATAATTATTAAGATACAAACATATATTAAATAATATTAAAATTTTAAATTCAATTATTATTAAATTTTAAATCTAAAAATGAAATTTGAAAAAACTTATAAATTAGATTTGGAAATCTCGTTGTGACTTTAATAAAAAAGAAAAAGAATAAAAATATTTATTAAAATTAAAATAATTTTTTTAAAAAAGTTGATGTAGGTCGAGATGTTGGAGGGTAAGGGAAAACAATTCCCTTATCTTATTGTCATTTTTATCGGGCTGGACCATTGCAAATGTTAAGCCCTGATAAAGCAATTGAGAATTTTGAATAAAATTAAAATAAAATAGAAGAAGGCGATAAAGTAGTAGTATGAATGGTTCATGTCATTAATTTTTTAAAAGGTTTAATTTGGATATCCAAATTTTTGTGAAATTGTCTCAAATTTTATTTGATCGGACTGGACTGACTGCCCAATTTTTAATAACATAACATAGTGTGATAGTCTTCGGTGGAATTTTTTTTATTTTAAACTTTAAATAAAACATAGACCTGACTCCGGGACTCCTCGCCGCACTCCAGGGAGATTAACTTCGGCTTGTAGAGAACCAACCATTCTTCTTTCTTTTTCTTGGTATTGTTGCGGCTCCGCAGGAAGGAGAAAACACCTTTCTTCTATCTTTACTTTGAGGTCTTCATGGTGGTGCGATCCGGCATGAACGATGGTGGATTCATAGGGTTATACTGTCGTGTTTTATCACGTTGAGCCGCAAAGAAGAAGATCTGATGGTTGTCGCGTTTTGCGAATTTGGGGATTAAGATTTTCGGAATTGGAAATTTGAGAATTTTGGAGGTTTTGAAATTTGTTCTTGCAAATTGGGGTTTTTGGTTCTTGCGTTCTGATCTTGAAATTGGGGATTAGGGTTTCTAAATTTGGGATTTTTCCTTTTGGGGTTTTTGTTCTTGATTTTTTTGATGTTGCGATTGGAGGAGTTGGGATTTTTCCTGAGGTTTTTGTTCTTGATTAGCAAAAGGTCTTTGAATTAGAACCCGTGTTCTGCAAATGGGACAGATGGGTGTGTGGAGAATCCATGAGTCTATACAGTGCAGATGGAAGGTGTGGTTGCAATTGGGCAATAACCTGCATAAATCACCAACCTTGAAACTCTCTAAGCAAACAGCACAATCGACGGGGCTGCTGCACCCTCTTCTCTCTGCTGATGCTGCTGCTGGCTCGTTATACACAAAGCAAGGAAGGTTTTTGAGGTCACTAATGTTGTCTTCACCCAACGTTCTTTTCATTCCAATCATGTTCTGCACCTGTTGAGTACCTTCTTCATCAGTATTGTTCCCTCTGAAGACTCTCCCCACGATGCAGACATGGATAACCACCAAAATATCTATACCCACAAACAATATGATCAAAGAAATCACAATCTTCATCACCGTGATCTTGCCCAGTTTACCCAACCTTTGTTTTCTTCGAACTTAGAAGTGTATGATTCTGATAAAGTATGTTTACTCCTTAGAGACAACAGATTGAAACTGGGTTTAGACAACTACCAGATTGTAGCAACGGTGAACCATCGAAGTCAATCCCCTAGAGCATGGCAAGGAGTCATCGGAGTCTGTTTTATTTAAAACTTAAAATAAAATAAATTCCACCGGTGTCACTTCATAAAAATTGCGCACTTACCAAGCCAATCAACAGAAATTTTAACGTAGTCTAATCTAATTATCGGTAAGGTTTTAACTGAGTCAATTTTATAAAAATAAAAAACCTAACTGAGATCAAATAAAATACAATAACTTATTTAAGACCGTTCCACGCAAACAGAGACCATTCCATACAAACAGAGACATCCGAAATGAGCCTTAGTTTGCTGCATGTACCTTGTTACTTTTACTGTTAATTTCAATTCATGGTTTTGTTTCTTTAATTCTTAATTTCAATTTATAGTTTCGTTTCTTTTATTCTCAATTTCAATTCATAGTTTTGTTTCTTTCTTGTCTACAATTCTTAATTTGATATTAATGGAGAAAATCCTAATTATGAGAAATATTAAAGTTATTTATTGGTAAATTTTAAAATTATGATATGAAATCTTAATTAAGCTAACAATATAATGAAGCCAATAATATGAATTTTAATCAAGTTAACGACACTCTAACCAAATAAAATGAAGCAAAAAAACTTTAAAAGGAAAAAGGCAAATTTGGTAACTTGAATCATTTCATACACTAATCCATTTACTTTTATAAAATAATAAAATTTATTTTTTCTTTAAAATTTCTCATCAAAGGAACACAATAATATATATAAGAATTTTTCTGTTGGTCGAGAATGAGATTATATACAAAAGTCACGAATGTATTTAAAAGGTAAGTCATTTCATTTGAAACTAATTTTTAAAATCATGTTTAGAAAAACAAATGTGCAAAATGTTGTAGCTCTCGATTCCATAGTAAACTATCTTTTTAATATATAATCAGAAAAACGTCAAATTATCCAGACTTGGCAAGCATCTTTAATACAGACGACATGATGAAAAGGGAAACACTGAATAACTTAAACTTCCCTCACTTAAAAAAATGGCGTATTTCTACCTCAAAATCTTGAGATTTCAGCTTTGTTTGCCGGGTCTGGGAGGTCCAAAGTAGTTTGTTATCAATCCCATTAGAGAAAACCTGAGGTTCAGATTAACATCAAGTCAATAATTTAAAACTCAGGAAAACCTGTCGAAATTTATAATAGATGGGAATTGAGGACAAACTATTTTATGTTCACGTTGCCACAGAAGAATGAAGAAAAATAAAATGCTGCAAATCACATGTCTTTCTATGTGTGCATGTAACTGCTAATATACTATCACTTGCTTTTTAGAATACTACAGCAAGTTAAACCTTTGGAGAATTTCAGCCATACCCAAATCATATACTTCTAAAAAGGTGCAAGTAACCAAACTGTTGTGTTTAGTATATTAGTATGGTGGTATAGAAGATTAGATTCACCATTCTTACAGGCAAAATTCTTATCATAAAATATATATATCCAAAACCTTTGCCTCTATTCTATGTGTGCATTGAAAAATCCAAACAGAACAAAAAAGGTTATTATGCAATGTATTTTTTGTGCGGGAACAAGTTATCAAACTTTAGCAGTTTTTTGTCAACGTAAAATAACTCAGTAAACAACAATTTAACATTTTTCAATAACATATTACAGATTATTTTCCTGGACCTATCTTGAAGAGGATTTCCTGTCCATAGAGTTTTAAGGAGACTTGAACCTATAAGCCTAATTGATGAACCACAACTATGACGACACATCCATCTAATGCTAGCTCCAAAGAAAAGCAAAATGACATTACTATCCTACCACTTTCCTAAGCTCTATGGTTGCATTTATTCCAAAGAATGTTAAACTATTCTCCAAAAAAGCAAACAACACAACATCCTCAATATTTTAAACGAGTTTTCACAACATCTTTGGGGCATTTTTCCTTTCTCCAAAAGTACCATTCTCATGTTTTCATTGACTTTTAACCCTGTCATAATGGAATGATATGCAGTTTTACCATGACATGGGAATGCAAGTAATTTTCTACCCGACTATTGGCTCAGTCCCCACTTCTTTATACCGGACATTCTTTCTCCCATTATTTGAATTCTGAAAAACATTCCTAAAACTAGTAAACGCTATCCATATATACTCATTTATCCAGATGTAAAGTTACCTGTCTTATACTTCGACATTTCCGTCCAAAATCTCTATGTACTTCAAATACCCCCTTAAACATGTGCTCTCCATCTCTAACTATTGTTCTGTGTTGCTAGGTATTTAGCCATGTCATGAGAGAAGTCTCAAACTTAGGAAACAAATTCAAGGGCCAGCCATTTTTTAAGTCAATCTTTAGTTGTATAAGCCTTAAATGTTACATAATTGAGACATCAGGGTTTATAGTAAGAACATGAAGAACTTGCACGCAGTACAACAGATACAAGCAGAATAAAAGAGAAAAACCTTGTAAGAGTTGAAACATGCTTCAGAAAGTTTCAGGGACATTACAAACCATATATAATATTGGTTACTTTTTAACAGTCCATACACAAGAACATTGTTACTTGATAGGAATACCTACATAGTAAGCAGTTAAAAATAATGACCAAGATTACGATGCACTTAAATGATTTGGTCAGCAATCCTATAACTATTTCAGGTGAAGGAATCACCTGTGAGATGTAGCTGTCCTATCTACTCGACTGAACAAGATTCAACATTTACTTAATCTATGATTGGGGCAAAGCATATACTCCACTAAAGTAAAAAATTCTGCAGTAAAAGGAATCTATTGAATGAAAAAGGTTGGGAGTGCCCTGAAGAATTGAAAGAAAAAAACCAGAAGCTTGTCTTCTGTATATAACGAGTAGAGGGAAACAAAAATGATATTGAAAGAAGTTATGAAATAGGATCTCATGATGGATAAAATTCATGAAAATATGATTTTTTGATAAAGCCCAATAGGCTGTTATTCATATAACCTATCTAGTGAAATAAGGTTGTCGTGTTCTTGTTGTTTGTTGAGGGCTATGTTTGGAAAGCTGGAAATAGGGTGAGCAATAGAGGATGAAAGGGAAAACATACTTAAACACAGTTGTGGAGTTAAGTAACAGAAGGGGGCGGAATGGAAAGGGAGAAAATCCTAGTCCCGTTCCTTGACAAAAAAAATAAGCAACCAAACAATAGATCAACATGTTCTATTCCATTATGAGCCATTCTTCTCCTTCTCTATAAAACACCCAAACATTTTATTAAGATGCATTTTGAATTGAATTGAAATGGATTGTAAAACATACATAATTAAAACATCTAAAATTTGTAATTAGTAAAATGAAAAAAGAAAAATGCAATTCATCATCCATGACTCGTTTGATAAAAAAAAGAAAAGCTATGTTGTATTTTATTGTTTTAAAATATTTTTTGAAAATAATGTTCGATATTTATACACATTCTTACTCCCAAATAGCCTTTGAGTCTCAGACTCATTCTCTCTATGTCCAACCAATGAATTTTGGAATATCTCATGTTGATCCAATGGATTATAAATCATGTGGGATGGTTGGTGGTTCACTATCCATGGTGATCCGTCCTTTTAGTTTTATTTTAGAAGTAGATGGATTGGTGAGACGAATAAACGCTGACAAATTAATGTCATCAAGCAAACGGTTCAGATATCAGAGGCCAGATTAATGTCATCAATTAGCTTGTCGAACATCTAGAATTCTACATTAAACATCAATCCTCTCATTATGATCCAATCCCTAACAAAGGCAAATATTGAGTGTCATCTATTTAGCAGGTTCCTGTCTTCAAGGATAATCGACACTGAACCTTATAAAAATAAAAGTTTCATTCGATTATACTACTGACACTTCTGGAACAAATGAGTAAAACAATACTAACTTCCAAAAAAAGGAAGGGAAAGATCCTTACTGCCGATTTCAATTTCCTATTCATCACGCCCTAAGCCTCCAAATCTGACTTCGTTGATTTTGCCTACATTTTTTTTCCTGATTCCGTACCCTTAAGAACGCATGTACCTATTCCTATTCTTTCGAGCCCTAAGTCTATATGTAATTCAGAAACTTGAAAAAAAAAATCTGAAACGGTGGAAAATACACTACCTCCCAAATCCAAGAACATTTATTCAACCTTTTGCTATGCTTCTATTTTAAAGAACAGATCACACAATCAGATCCACGAACAAATCTCTTAAAGAAAAAGCAAACGGGAATTCAAATAGAGGAAAACGAAGAAACTCACATCATAGCCATCATAACTTGTTTGAGATCGTTCTCGACATTCCGCATGTTCGCTACGGATTGCGCGCAGAATATGAGTGCCAGCCAGGAGCTCAGTTTGTACTGATTTCACAAATAACACAATAAGAAAAAAGTGTTAACGCATCGAAACGAAAATTCTGCAGTGAGATCGATGGCGAAGAGGTGCTTCAAATACAAACCCTAAACATAACGCCGCCGACGCCAAATATGACGGCGATGAATCCGGCGTAATCGATCGGCAGGTCCTGCGGTGCAATCTGCGGTGCCACGTAGGGTCTCGCCGCCGATGGCTGACGGGGATCGTTAGTATGCGATGACATCTCCGATTTCTCTCTTCGAAAGCCAGAGACAGGTGTTGACTAGTTTCTCAGTAAATTTTCTTTTACTTGTTGTTTTAATATTTATAGTGCGAAATCTGCAATATATAAAGGATTATATTACAAAAATTATTTCATTAATTAATCTGTAATTTTATCTCTTATCTTACATATTAAAGAAGGATATATATATATATATATATGTATAACTACTCTTAATAAAAGAGTTGTTTATTATAACTTGTTTTGAGTATAATTATCTTTACCAATATAAATAATTTTATTTGTTAAATACTATAATCATTTTTTTAACTCAATTAACTATTTTAATAAAAAAATGTTTTTTTAAAATGTTTATTTTATAAGTATTTTCTTGTGAATATTTTTTTTATAAATTTAATAACATTTTTTTAATAATAATTAAAGAAAGTTAATTTTTATTTCTTTTATCGTAGTAACTAATTCTAAATATTGACAATTCTAATAAGAGCTATAAAAATATGATCATAATTTGTAAATATGTATTAATAAAAATAAAAATAAAAACTTAAAATTATATAATTAGTTGGATTGATGTAAGAAAGATTTTATGTAAGTTAAATTTTTACTACATAATTTGATGAATAAGTTCTTTTAAAAGTTTTATAATTGTACAATTCTATAATATATTGAACTTTTATTTTTAAACAATGATATGATAAGATTTTTCAATCTCCGGATAAAAAATTAAGTTCTTATAATAGTACAAATTTTGTTTTCATGCATTCCTTATGTTTGTTCGAGGTAATTTAAAAAGATAATTTATTTATTTAAAAAATTAAAAAAAATGAACTAAAATAATTTGTTTGAATAACATAATTAGAAATAAATTTAAATTTAAGAAATTTTGAAATGTAATTCAAATGAATAAAATAGAAAATTTTCAAATACCTTGAAAAGTATAAGAAATTTCAAATTCTACTCCTTTTCACTCTCTTACCATTCTATTTGTGATGTTCGAGACAAGTCGGCCTAAGACGAAGGTTGAGCTGAGTTGACCTAGGATGAAAGTTGAACTGAGTTAATTCAGAACGAAGATCGAGTTGAGTTGGTTTGGGACAAAAGGACAAGATGAGTCAGCTTATGATGACGATTGACACGAGTTAGGTAAAACTGACAATTGAGACGAGTTAGCCGAGTCGACGATCGAAACAAGTCTTCCAGATTGAAGGTCAAGTCAAGTCGGCCTGAGTCGTAGGTCAAAACGAGTCATCCTAGACCAAAGCTCGAGTCAAGTCAATTTAGAGATTGAGCCAAGTTAGCATGCGCCTAACACGAGCTGGGCCTAACTTAAATCTTCGGGAGTCGACCAGATCAAAAGTCGAGACGAGTCGTCCTAGATCGAAGGTCGAGCTAACTCAACTCAGGCTCAAGATAGAGTTGAGTTTGTCTTAAATTCGAAATTAAATTGCTTTATCCAAACAAGAAAATTGAAATTTAAGATATTTCAATTACTCAATCCTAACAAACTATTTAAGAAATAAAGAGAATTCAATTGTAAGTAATTCAAATAACTATGTATTTTAATTTATTGTAATTATTGAAATTTTTCATCCAAACACAAGGTAATTGTTCTTTCTAAATGTTAAGAAAAAGACTTTAAATCTAATTCAACCTTACTTGACTTCTAAAGTGAGGTTTGCACCCATTTATTACATGCCTTGTAAAGTAAGGTTTGCACCTGCTTATATATTGTAAATTGGGCTTATCACTAGTCAGTGTGGGACTTCAATCACACCCTATCACGTCGAGACATATACATCTTGAACGTAAAACTAAATATTAATGGGTGGTACGACAATGACCCAATAGTGGGTGAAACAAAAAATTCAATAAGCAATAAACTTCACTATGATAAATTTTAACTCGGGATTATGATATCATGTTAAGAAGTAAACTTTAAATCTATCTGAACCATACAAAATTAACTTGTAACACTAGTGCAGTCAGGGGAAACGACAGCGGTTATTTTCGCTAATAGGCAGCGGTTCCTGAACCGAGGCATATTAAGGCGAGACAAAAAGTCTCTAAACCGAGGCATAAAAGGGTAGGATTTTTCCTCGGTTCAACGTTAACTGAAGGAGTAGATGGTTTAATTTTTTTTTGCAGGACTTTATGCCTCGGTTCCCTCTGAACTGAGGCAGTATGTCCCCTTCTACTGCCTCGGTTGACAACTTAACCAAGGCAGTAGAGTCCTTTTTTTGTTTTTTTTTCATCCGTCAGCCTTTCTGTTTCGATTGTGACCTTAACCGAGGCCATAGGGGGGTTTTCTGCCTCGGTTATGGTCTCAACCGAGGCATATTCCCCTACTTTTTTTTGAAAAATCAGGTCTGTTTTTGCTACATTTCCAACTGCAGAAATAGACTTGCACATAATTTTACAGCCAAAACAGTCCAAAATAATCCAGAAGCGTATATTTTGAATGAAAATTGTATTAAAACATAAATACATTCAATGTAATCATAAATCAACTTTTTAGAAGCATAAATCAATCCAATGTAATGTACAAAGTTAAACTAATAATAATGTACATAAGCATAAAACAACTTAGAAACATAAACTTAGAACTTATTATATCCTAATATCTACTACATACTATTATATAATTGAATGACATATTTAGCCAGTGTTTTCCTCACGAGTTTAAGTGACTTCTCTAGAATTGGAGCAGTCATATTGAATCTCTGCATAAAACACAATGATTTCAATTAGTGTATATGAAATTTAAACTATAGAGAAAATAAAATTCAAACCTAAATATTATTGTTTGCCATCCACTTGTGTAATGTGCACGAATATTGGTCATCATCCAAAACATGACGTAGTAACCACATTCATATGACCTTGTTTGTCTATTACACTACAATATATCATCATAATTATAAAATGTTAAGTAACATCATTGGAATGGAACAAAATGTAACAAAGTATGGACTAAATACCAAACCTTAAGGGCAACCCATGCAAGCTTTTTAGCTGTAGTAGTAGATCT